ATGATTTTGTGTAAGTTCTTGGAGTTTTGTGTCTATTTCTGACCACTTCTGATCTTGAAAACTGAAAACTGTCAAAAAGAAGACATAAAATTTCAAAAGAAAGTTACCAGAATTTTATGTCTTCTTTTTGACAGTTTTCACATTTTTCACATTTCAATGATTTTGTGTCCGTTCTTGGAGTTTTGTGTCTATTTCTGAACACTTATAATCTTTTGCGTTCCTTTCAATGCAGTTCTGAGTGAAATGATGACGTCACTCTAATCTGAAGAGTTTAGCATGTGGGGACAGGGAAAGGGGGTTTGAGGAGATCTCCATGGGTTCAAATTGGGGTACGGGTATTTTGTTAGATTTGAGTTTCTCTGTTTAAAGCCAGCCTCTCCAGCCCTTTTAGGACACAAAGCCCTCACAGATAAAGCACGTGCTCGTGCACGTTAAACTTGTCAGACTCAATCAAGCAGCTTGAATCATGCCAGGCAGGAACACATGCCCTTCAAACACACGACAGCTCTCTGGGAAGCAGCCATGCGTGACCTCTTTTCTCTAACACAAATGTAATATTGTATGGAGCTCTTTCCCTGCAGGCACATTGCTGCCTTTCTTGTGGGCGTTTGCGTTTTGCTGCCCCGCACCCACACAAGCTAGCGGCTTCACAATCAGCCGGCGCTCCCCGCAGGCCCGACAGCTTTACTCCTTATTCAATACAAAATCCACACCAGACGCACAGACCTGATTGATTGAATGCTTTAAAGACAAAACCAGCCAAAGAAATCAGGAGGAAAAAACCCAGAGGCATTGGTTTCGGCTAAAAACGTCCATGGTTTTTCCATTTTTGCCCATTTCAACTAGATATCAGCACAACTTTGGCCATTTTGCCATATTCTTTAAAAAGTTGCCCACGAAAAGTTACTCAAACAGGTGAAATCTGATCCTTTTTGGGGTCTACTTTCTGTTGTGGATCAATAAAAGGATCACGACTCAGTTGCAAGCACCTCCTTAAATGGGAAATTCAGATAGGCCTTAGGAGCTTTGAGTGTGTTTGGTTTTTAAGTCTACCGGATGTAAAAAATATGCAGACTCAATATAATTGTGCTGGAGCTCAATTTCCAAATGAAAAAGCATATTTGTCTGTGTTTTCCTCTGGTATTGCAGAAATCTCACTGGTGAGAGCAGAGACTTGGAAACATTCCCAGGGGTCATGGTCAGGGTTACCTAGGGTTACCTAGCCCTAACCCAGTCATGGGAACAAATTAAATTATCCCTAAAATCATCCCAGAGAGCACTTATGGGTTAGGGTAAAAAGATCTTAAAATTCTGAGCCGAACAGACAAACACAAATACATAAATATTTGATAGTTTCTGCTGTTTCAGCCGGGAGTTGATTTACAAAAACAGGTTTGTAGATGCTCTTATTCTATTTGTTCTAAAAAAACAAACATATTTCATTTGATTTTGGAGCCACACTGATTTTCATTATCTTGTGACGACTAAATTCAATATCTCAGCAAGCTCAGCTCTCATATCGCAGCTTCTCCACACACAGGAGAAGTTTCCCCTCTTGTTTTTGGAGTTTTTTTCTCTCCTTGTCTGCAGTGTGCATCCATTATCGGCCCCATCTCTGTCTATGAAACATTGATGCCTCGTGTTTCTGCCCGGCCGCGATGAACGCTGCACAAAACTAATATCAAACAAGGGCTGAATTTTTCAGCAGGGCAAAGGAGCAGGGCTTTTCTGCCATTCAGACAGCTCCTCACACCCAGCTTCTTTCCAAAAAAGAGGCCTTTTCCACAAAATGAAATGAAACTCATCATAGCCATAAACAGCTCCATCTCTGGTTGGTCAGTTTTCAGTAAAACAGGAAAAACTCTGTGTTGGTTTTTCTTCAGTAAAAAGCTGAAACTCCCCAGTGGGTCGAAACAGATGGACCCCCTCCCTGGTTCTGGTAAAAGGGAGTTTTTTCTTCCCACAGTCTCCTCATGCATTTAGCATATTTAGAGCAATCTACTAGTTTTATTGGCCAGGAAACCTTTCTTTAATTAGCTCTGAATTAATTGGATCAATTTGGGATTTAATGAACTGGAATTGATTGGATTATTTTGGACTTTGAAGTTCTTGGAGACGACATTTGCTGTACTGAACTTAAACACTGTGAAAAAAAGAGTTCTGCTGGGTTTCCTCCAGAATAAGGCTTAATTTCCTGGAAATGAGCTCTGTTCCAGCATCCATTCCAGAAATGAAGGGAAACTTTGTGCTGATGTGCTGAAAACAGTCGACTAAAAACTGGAACTCAGAGCTGTGGGATCATTTTAGACTTTCAGTTTTAGAAAACCGTCACATTGAGCTGCACTATTTGCTGCCATTCAAAACCCCTGAAATGCTTTCAGATCAGCATCCTAATCCACTCTGACATGTAGCAGTCAGTGTTTTTTCCATCTACCTGTGAGCCTCTGATCAGAACCAGAGAGGAAACGACTCACACTCTCTGCTTTTTTCCTCCAGGATCAGCTCCGATTTGCACTAAATGAGCTCTATTCCAGCACATATTACAGAGAGGATAGGGAAATATATGTTAATGTGTTGGAAACAAGTTCACTAAGAAGCAGAAAATAAAACATTTGGGGATCATTTGAAACTTTTTGCTTTATGAGCAAAATAAACCCCGGGAGGGCCAAAACTGGGCAGTAAATGTATTTTATCATAGAATTGATTTATAGTTTTATTTTCTCTAAATAGCTTAAGTATGCATGAGTGTGGTGATTTATAAGATTCATCCACGTCTGGGGGGCTGGAATTTATTCCACTTGTAATTTTAGGGTAACAGTCTGGAAGGTTTTGAACCCCTGAGCTTTACACCCATCCATCCATTATCGTAACCGCTTATTCCCTAATGGGGTCGCATGGGGACTGGAGCCTATCCTGGTAGTCAATGGGTGAGAGGCGGGGTCAACCTGGACGGTCCACCAGTCCATCACAGGGCCACACAGAGTGTCCAATCAACCTAACATGCATTCTTTTGGACTGTGGGAGGAAGAGAACCCACGCAGACACAGGGAGAACATGCAGACTCCCGCAGAAAGGTCCTGGTTCCCCCGGGATTCGAACCCACCACCTTCTAGCTGTGAGGTGATGGTGCTAACCACCACATCACAGAGTCACGGACGATATTAAGAAGAACAGAGTGTTAATTGGCTATTTTCAGCTCCTTTAGCGTCTTTACGTGTCGTAAGCAGTGACGACCGGAGTGCAGATGTGGAAACAGCGGGATCTGGAAGCCCGAACCGATCAGCGTTCCCCCCAAAACTCTAACATCATGGACGTTTTGTTGATCGGACGGAGGGAAACGCGGGGCACTCACCTTCATGTGTCGTCGCCTCCGTCTGAAGCGCAGCAGCTCCTTGTGTTGGCGGGCGATGAAGTTGACGGCGGCGTACTCCAGCAGGGCCGAGAACACGAACAGCAGGCAGACAGCCATCCAGATGTCGATGGCTTTCACGTAGGACACCTGCAGGGAGGGAGCGGAGGGGGCCGTGGTCACATCGGGGGAGGGAAGGCCTTCAGTCAAAGACAAATGTTCAGCTACGATGTCACGCCTTAGAGGTTTGGACCATAAACGTAACAGTAGAATAAATCTGCCCTCCATCGTCTCCAAAGAGCTCACAGCTGGATGCTTCCCAGCTGTGCTCTCAGGTTGCATGGTTCTGGTTTTGCTTCTTGTTCTGGTTCCTGAGTTTTCAAAGCAGAACGGGAGGCAGAGCCTTCAGGTATCAGACCCCCTTCCTCTGAGGAACAAGTCTGGGTTTAGGAAAAAGACCCCCTTCTAGACCAGGCTGATGAAGCCGATAGTTGGAGATATTCAGGGACCTTGAAACATCCCAAAGTTCTGCTTTTTTTTGGGGGGGGGCGGCTCCCATGATGCACCTCTCCTCCCTCTGCTGCTATAGGTCCAATATAAGTATCATCAATTTATCCTTTCTCTCTGGCAACTTTCCACCAGTGCATATTTCAAAGGTTCTCTTTCTTTCTCATGAGGCTCTTTCCTCTTTCAAGGTCTCAGACAAGGTCTCCTTATATTTTATCTCTTAATGTTTTGGTTTGAGGACTGTTTAGTACAGATGCAGGTTCCTCTGTGATGGGAGACAGACTTTACTCCTCATCTCAGACTCAGAGGGGTATAAAATGCACCATGATTTTTTTTACTTTAGAGCCTTTAGTGCCTCATATGGACTGCTTGTATGATGGTGCTGGTCGCTCTCAATTCATTTCCTTTTTAAGACATTTCTATTTCTTACTTCCTCAGAGGGATTCAGAATCAGACTTTTGCTTTAGAATACAATGTCCTCTCTGTCTTTTAATCCTCACTCACAGCTTCACGCTGAAACCCAGAGCCACGATCAGGGTCTCACGTTCACGATGGTGTTAGAAACAACACAATCTGTGCGTAAATGTCAACAGCTTTTACACCTAGCGACTTCAGCGTGAAATGAGGAGGACGGGGGGGAGGGCAGCTCCTGTTAACAGGCTGGAGCGCAGTCAGCGGGGATCATTGTCTGATTGCTATCTGCCCACCGAGTCCTCCAACTTGAGTCCACTCAGCCAGCCCGTCATTACCGCTCTCCACCTCCACTCGAATCAGCCCGTTCGGCCTGAGAGGGAGATCCCTCCTCCGTCGCACACGTGGAGAAGACCCACAGCGAGCCGTTTAACATCCAATTAAACCACGCCTTCCCATCTTTTATACAAACACCTGGCGCAGGGGGTCAGCTTGGCTCGGAAAACATTTATCTTCCTCCTCTGAGCCGAGCTTTAAGCTTCTGGTGGCAGCAGTTAGCTTCAGTTCCTTTAAATGTTTCAATTTAAATGGTTTCGAATGCAAAACAATTCTTGGAAGACAATCCAATAATATCAATTACATTCAAATATCTTCCTCTATTATCAATCTAACATATTAATCATATATTACATATAACAATTGATTTATTGTTGTTTTCCTTTTTGGTTTGTACCCCGAAGTAATCAAATGCAGATTTAATATCTATTGTGTCATATCTAATCTTTATCTAATCTTCTTGGCTTTTATGGCATCTCATTTTCATATTTATTTAATTAGTTTTGTCTAGACAGCATTTGTGATTTTCCTTAATTTTCCTCCCTGTTCTTTCAAATATAACAACAGAGCATATCAAAGCAACATATTGATAGATTGATTCTTATCTTTACTAATTAACTCTTTCACTTTTCTTGCTGAACAATAATCTATAAGCGTATTCTGATGTTATCTAATACAAATATAGTGTTTCTTGTGTCTTATTTAATCTTTTTATTTACTACTATGGCACCACATTTTCATACTGATTTGATTTGTTTTGTGTAAACATCATTTTGATCTCTTTTGGATGACTTCAAGTCCACCTGAAAATAGTTTGTTTTCTTCCAAGTTGAATCATGCTACCCATTAAAATAGAACATTTAATGTATTTCTTCTTATTGTTTACAACAGGGGTTTCTTTTTTTTTTTTTGAAAAAGAGTTTACTTTAATGACAGTAAACTCGAATAGAAAATGGAAAAAAATGTATGTTTTGTGTGTTTTTTCTGTCTGGATGAGACGAAAAAAAGGATAATTCAATCAATAAAACCCAATTTCACTGAATACGTCACTTATTGATATCTGAGGAGACAAAACACGGATTCAGAGGCAAAAATGGAAGACAATTTCAGATCCCTCCAATGACTCCCAGTCAGGACGGATGCCTGAGAGGACTCAGGCTTTTCTCCTCTCATCTCACCCCGTGTGGCGATAAGTGGAGGTGTGTGTGTCTGCCATCAATCAGGCAGATCTGTGAGTGTGTGTGTGGCTCAGCTGCTCGCTGTGATCATCGCCGCCACATCTGAGCTGGAGAGGAATCACGGTTGACTTGCTGGGGTTTTTTGGAGCGCACAGATAGTCGAGTGGGTGGATCCGGGCTTCCGCCGCACGCAAACCCGTGCAGACCGGGGCCCCTCCCCTTTAAATCTGCAGATCCCCAGCAGGAAAGAGGCCTTTCCCCTTCACCCTCTGCTCTCCCCTTAAATAATCCACATGTCTCTACATTTAAGAGCAGGCTGAAGACTTTCCTTTATGATAGAGCTTATAGTTGGGGCGAGTCTACCCCTAGTTATGCCGCTATAGGCCTAGACTACCGGGGGATTTCCCATGATGTCCTCACTTTTCCCATGATGTCCTCACTCTCTCACCCCCAACTGGCTGAGGTAGATGCCCCCAGCCCCACCCTGAGCCATGGTTCTGCTTCAGGTTTCTGCCTCCTAAAGGAAGTTTTTCCTTGCCTGTGTCGCCTAGTGCTTGTTCTTGGTGGGAATTGCTGTGAAAAGCCGGGAGATAACTGTTGTTGGGGCCTAGACTGCCGGGGGATTTCCCATGATGTCCTCACTTTTCCCATGATGTCCTCACTCCCTCACCCCCAACTGGCTGAGGTAGATGCCCCCCACCACCACCCTGAGCCATGGTTCTGCTTCAGGTTTCTGCCTCCTAAAGGAAGTTTTTCCTTGCCTGTGTCGCCTAGTGCTTGTCCTTGGTTAAGAATTGTTGTTCTTCTGTAAATAACTTCAGAGTCCTGCTTTGTTTGGAAAGCTGGGAGATAACTGTTGATGGGATGTGGTGCTATAGAAATGAAATTGAATTGAATTGAATGTTTTTATGCCTCTAGCACCTTTCCCCCCCTTATCTAAACCCTCGTTCCGTCCATGTGGTCGTAAGCGGCCATTCTAAACTATAAGCTGTCCCGGGGTGTCCCGACCCGCTCAGGCTTTTGAGGCCTGGCCTGACTGAGGTGTGAGGTGTGAAGTGTGAGGTGTGCGGGGTGCGGGTACCTTGGGCAGAGAGGCCCTGGAGCCGGAGCTCTGCGTGGTCATGGTCAGCACGGTGGTGATGCCCAGCCCCACCCGGGCCGGCGCCGCGTCCATGTTGATCCAGAAGGAGACCCAGGACAGGATGACGATGAGCAGCGAGGGGATGTACATCTGGATCAGGTAGTAGCCCATCTGACGCTCCAGGTGGAAGCGAGCCTCGATGCAGGTGAATTTACCTGAGGGGGGGGGGCAGAGCCTCGTTAATGATGATTTATCCACAGATCATGGACTCAGTGGCTTATTATCTCTGTTTTGGACCTAATTAAGCTGTGGTGTGCCACACGTGAGAATGTGAAAGGTTCCTAAAAACTTTTGATGCCGTACGAGCCTAAAAAAAGAAAGAAAACCAGGAACATTTTCACGACTTTTAGGAGCACAACTTTAGAAATTCAGCGGCTCACGCCCACCGGCTGAAGCTTTAAAAGATCAAACACATGACAATAAATGAAGCTTATGTCCCAGAAACGTTTTCCGCTTCACCGCTTCTTTGGTCTTAATTTAAAAAGAAAAGACGGAAAAATCTCTTCTTGTTCCTCTCCAGAAACTCTCAAATGCTTACATTTCCATGTATTTCAACGAGAGCTTTAAAGGGTTCGAAAAAGACGTGTTTCCAACCTAAAATATGACGTCCTCTATGTTTAATTAGACCTCTAATTCACAATCTGCCCACTTTTCACCAACAGCTGTACAGATATATGATAAAACATGAAAAGTAGGATTTTTTGGTTGTTTTTTTCCTGCCTAAACAACAACAATTTCTTTTTTAAAAGCATCATACCTTCCTTATCTCATTATTTGGCCGAACCGAGCCGGGCTTTTAAACCTCTGAACTGGGAGACATTTGTTTTGTGGTTGGCGCTTTACACCCAGCCAGTGCACGAGCTCGCAGCGTCCTCTGTAATGACTGTTTTTTCGGGATTAACTTGCTGTCCTTGAGCCCGCAGTGCATTAGTCAGTCATTTATCTCATTCTGCAGCCTCTCTATGGGGGAAATACACTCAGACTGAAAGTTAACGACGGGGAAACTTTACCAACATCCTCTGATGTGTAAGACAATTTAGGCATTCAGATCCATTTTTTACAGGAATTAGCACTTGACTATGAATTATGGCATCCAAAGAAATCGAAATCAAAATAAAACTTTTGCAGGAGCTTAAATCTGACCCACATCGCGAAGGAGAGAAATCTGAAACATGAACGTTTTGAGGAAAATAAATCTGTTCGGGCTAAAAACAGAGTGAATTTTAAAAAAAGCCGAAGAGGGCAAAACACAGGAAATCACAGTCGGGCTGGTTTCTGAGTGTCAGTAAAGCCAAACATGTTTGATGTTTCCAGACCGAAACAGGAGGAAGAAATCATCTGCTGCCCCCCCCAGAAAACAGGAAGTATGAATGTTTCATGATGTTTTAAAGGGTAACAATTACATAACGCAGCCCAAATAATGTCGTTTCGATCATTTACCTAACCGACTGTGACAGAGACACAAGAGCAAACAAACAACAACTTTACCGCGTTAAAAATGTGGGAGTTGAACTATTTTTGAACTTTCTTCTGTATTTTGTATCTATCTATCTATCTATCTATCTATCTATCTATCTATCTATCTATCTATCTATCTATCTATCTATCTATCTATCTATCTATCTATCTATCTATCTATCTATCTATCTAAATATGGAAAACATGTAAATAATATTTACATTTAAACGGATGAAATAGATAGAAATAAATAGATTAATAAAGAATTAAATGGGGAGAGAATAAAAAATATCAGTTGTAAATTCTAAGAAATAGTTACTAAAAATAAAGATAAAAAATAAAAAATTAATGTATATATTTAGAAAAATGGCAAAACTGTCAAATTAAGTATAAACATGAATGGATTAAAAAACCAACATCTATCTATCTATCTGATGAAAAACATGTATATAATATTTATATTTAAATGGATGAAATAGCTCGAAATAAAAAGATTAATGAAAAATTAAATGGGGAAAAACGAATAATATCAGTTGTAAAATAAGTTATTAAAAAACAAAGAAATGTACATAAATAGTTACAAACTGAAAATAAAGAGATAGAAAACCAAAAAATGAATGTAAATAAGTAGAAAAATATGGCAAAAAAAAATCTATGTTTGTTAAAACTGTCAAATTAAATATAAAAACATTAGAATAAACGTGAATAGATTAAGAAAAAAAACAGATAAATGTAATCGTGTGTATTGGTATTGGTCTGCCTGTCAGGCTGCTGGAGGCTGAGCCTTTGGGGGGGGGGGGGGGTTTTGAAAATACGCATTAAAACAATGGCTGAGGACTAAAAAATAGTTTTTTCTTCCTTTATGTGACTTAGATGTGACTACACAGCTTTATTCTCTTTGGATCTCTTTGGAAGGCTTTGTAAAGGCTAGGATAGAAATTTGGCTGGATGAGGATTAAACCCCCTAAAAGGATCTGAAGTTCCCCTAAAAAAAAAAAAATTAAAGAAGAAATGTTCCTTTTAGAGGTGTATTGTTTGAGAAATCCATGTTGGGAGGCTGTGGAGTCGATACTGAGTCAAAAAGAACTCTGATAGTTGTTTGATTTTGGGAGACAATGGGAAAAATGATTACATCTTTACATTGTTTTCCTTTTTCCGCAACAAAACGATTTATAATTTCTCCTTTTTTCCAGAAGCTGAGGTCAGGTTTAAATAAAATTACACCTCAGTTCTGAGTGTAAAAAGTTTGAAAATCCAACAGATTTATTCAGAAGCTGCAGTGAAAGTCTAAAATATTCATAAAACACCAATAAACCTACGAGTAACACTGGTAGGTTGATCTGATATATACCATTCCTGAAAATGACAGGAATTCTGTGAAAGTTCAGCTTCAAAATGGGCAGAAGAAAAATAATTTGGGCTCAGAAAGGAGCCACAGGAGCTCACAGGGGTTCAATCTGGACGTTTGGGAGCTCAAAGTCTCCATTTTAGGTAAAGAGCCTTATTATATGTATCCAGACTTGAACAGATCTGCTGCCATTCAGTGCTAACAGGTGCTTTTTTTAAAGCAGCACAGAGTTATTTCAAAGTGGAATTATTAGTTCTGCCATCAAATATTCAGCAGGTTTTTGTTGGAGCTGCTCACTTGAGTTTTCCCCAAGCAGGTCTGAGGGCTTTAAAGGAGCAGAACCGGGTTTTTAGAGGAGATAAATGTTGTTTTAACTGGCTTTAAGACTGGATCCAGAGGGGCTGAGCCTCTCTGTTATTTAGACACAGAGAAAGCAAATGGCTGCACATCCAGCTTTGGGATCATGTTGTTTGTGAAATCTGATTAAATCGGAAAAAAACAGAGCAAATGTGCCTTATTTACAGTTTTCTAGCAGCAGTAAAAATAGTCTCTTGGTCTCTGTGTGATGTCACCGGCACAACGGGTCTTAAAAAGCAAGAAAAGTAAGATGGCCGGCCATCCATTTAATCAAAGGCGA